CAATATTGTCTGGTGTAAACCCTAAGTAATGCAGTTAAGAGTTAAAAAAAATCGTATAGGGTGATACCGAAAAAAGGAAATGTTTTTTAATCACCCTGTTTGATCAAATTTAGTCTGTTCCAATAGCAGTCCGGTTTACAGTCAGAGTCAGCAGTCCCCTTAGTCAGAGCTTACAGGTAGTAGTTCCTATTGACATAAAACCTGTAAGTGAGAACACTTTTGAGAGAGTAACTGAGCAACTGTTCCTAGTCAGAAGTTACAGGATTTAGTCCGGAGTTTTCTTTCCTGTAAGTTCATGAAAAATGCCAAACGATCAGCTGATTTGCAAACAAAAACAGAAAGCTGTGAAAGCAAAGAACCTTATATTTGTAAAAAATGGAAGTAAACAACGAAATGTTTGAATATGTATAGATTTTAATAATTATTTAGTGATATTTCTGCCAAATCAGTGTTGTACCAATGACATGTAAACAAACCGACTGACGTTTTTACAGGAAATAGTGCTTTTTGCGTTCCCGTGCACTTCTGCATCTGTTCTCCTTTTACTCTCACTTGAGAGAGTAAAATTGTAATTTGACAGTTCCACAGGTTTTAGTCCGAAGTGGAAACGGCATGGATTATCTTATTGGAGTTGGCAGCACTAATTTTATACTACTAGCACGAGGAAGACGAAAATATAAATATGAACTCACTAAATGGGGAAAAGTACATTTAAACGAAATAATATTCACTTAAATTATTCACAATATCTAGCGTAAAGGAAATTTATTTGAAGCAAGTTAAAAGAAGCAATGACAGTATATATGTTTGTGTATACAGTGATACCAAACCATACTGCCATATTATCAGTGACACAAACCAAAAAGAGCGGATCATAAATTGAACCAGACCTCTATCAGGATCATGTCGTTGTTGTTGTATTTGAAACACAGCAAATATCAATATTAAATGGTCCAATTATGCGGGAATTAATAAATATACAAAGTTTAATTGAATAGGAACACGTAACAATGATTTTGGGCATGTAGCCCTTTAGGTAAGTACAATTTTCAGCATATGCCGGATGTTGGAAATTTGCATGAAGTTATACATATATGTATATGTAGATATGTACAGTTACTTTATATCGCACGCTGGCCTTTTGTTTTCCCTTTTACAATTTGCCACTGCACTCCTCATTTGGCGTTGTAATGTTTTAGTAATTGTGTAAAACTACGCAGAATAATTAAATTGGAGATGTTTAGGTTTTTTCCCACTGATTTTGGGTTAGTAGGCGGAGGGGGAGACGGCGCGGGTCTTGATATCTAACCCACTAGGAAGAGCACAGCTCACACTTTGTAATAAGTCACACTTGATCCTTCGAAACCTTCCACATACTCCTTGGGCAAATAACTAAACCGTACCCAGTTAAATCGTTATGCGGTTTTCCTCAATCGTGAATGAAATGTAACTTGCTATTTCATTAATACTTTGTCATTTTATCTGAAATTAAAGAAAATAAAACTGCATTCATCATTTTATTGCATAATGAAATTGCTGAATTTATTTCCATAAGGTTTATTTATTTATATATATGTATGTATGCGCCACTGCCTTTTCGCTATTATCGCTCTAATAACACATACGTTTAACTGTAAATTATTTTTACTAATGTTACTAATTTTAAGACTTTGACATTCTTTACAGAATTTTGGTAGCATTGTTTTACTATGTATTAATTCATTTATTCAATGCACATTCAAAGTTTATTTAATAATAAGAAAAGGTGTTTCGTATTAGATTTTGTTCAATGTTTTTTTTTTTCGCAAATAAATTGCTTACAATAATTATTTATGTAGTTACTAATAAAAAACTCCTTTGAAAATGTTTTGCTCGTGCATTATTGTTGTTGTTGTTGTTAGACGTTCGCTTGTTCGTCAGTGCCCCGTTATGACTCCAGTGATGACGCTCGCTTGTATTTCTTATAACTATTTACTTTTCTCCAATTTTTTATACACATAAACAAGTTAGTTTGTATGTTTGTTACAATTATTACATATATAGCATGTATATATAATAAAATATTTTTCATACATGCCATCAATATTTGTATGCAAAAATTACGTAAATATTGCAATCAATTCTGAATATTTGTAATTGCTTTATGTGTTTTTTTAATTATATTTACTTACTAAATTTATATTTTTCATGTTATTAAATATATACTAAATTTAAGTTAACCCAACACAGACAAAATATTTGTTATTCTTCCGAAATTTACATATTCAGATAAATTTAAATATATGTATAATTATAAATGCAAAATTGTTCATGAATGTGTGTATTTATGTATGTTAATTAGAGTTTTGATTTTATTATTTATTTATTTGTATATTAATTTCTGTTTAATCATCTATGGAGGATAGATAAAATATTCAACATTGATTGTTCATACGATTACTTACATACAAATATGTATTTTTAGTAACACATATTCTTTTAATAAAATCTACTGTTAAAAATACTATGTATTTACTATCGAATAACAACAAAATGTAACACTAAACATTATTAAATATGTAAGACTTTGTCGTCCAGCGACTTTAAAACTAAGAGTTCTGTGAATTTACATACACATATTTGTATATAGTACTTTATATCCATGTACATACATACATTCATAAATATATATTTTTAATTTTATTTCTATGATTCTATGTAATGCATAGTTACAGCGAGTGAAAAGCTAATGACTAACTTAGTACGACATGCAGTAACCCATCTTTTATTGTTCAACTAGGGGCTCCAATGATCTCGAATTTGTTTCTGCATATCTTTTTTGAAAAACTTTATTTTTGTTAAGCTCTTTTATATTGTTTGTAAAAGTATGCCAGTACCTAGTTAGTGTTTTATATATTTGGTTAAATCTCAAAATCAAAATAATTGTCGTTGAGAAGGGTTTTTGGGGCGCTAAATATATATAAGGAAACGTTATTAATTGGAAAATACTTGGAAATGTTTTAACACCGGAAGTTGATGTGAAACTTTTTAACACATAACATCGCTTTTAAAACTCAATCTAACGGTATACATTCATATCCAGCCGAACCGTGAGCCTTGATCCCTTAACCTGTCAAATAATAAAAAAAAGGGCCCGGAGCAAACATCAGCAACGAAACCTGCATTAAGTCAATTGAGTGTGCTCTGATGAGAGAAATAAATTGATTATGTTATGATAGACGTAAGATACGCTTCGAGCGCTCTTAACATGCGTAGCATCCGGTAAGCTAACATCGACTCGTCTGATTACTTTCATGCAGCTAAGGTCCACATTAGAGATGCCAGATCGAAATAAAAGAAATCGATTTTTGAATCGATTCGTATCGAGATAAAATTAATCGATACTGGAAGAAATCGGCAAAAAATATTATTGTAATTTTTAAAGCAAACATACATTTTTCATAAGGGTTTCAATATCCAGATTTATTCGAAAGCTATCAAGTAGCTAACACCCCAACCCTAAGTAACACGCTTTTCTGCTCATATTTCAGTAATGTATATACGGTTTATGAAGAATTTCATTGGCTTTTATTTGCCGTACTTTATATTAAGATTTTTAAATCGGTTCGTAAGATATATGTGATTAAAAGGAATTAATTTTTGCTTTAAGCTGAATAACGGTAAATTGCAAATATCTCGAAAACGTATCTATCAGTGTTGCCGTTTTAGCCCTTTGGTGGCTAGATTTAGCTACCACATACTTGTTTTAGCCACATAAATTTAAAATTGCCCCTAGCCCTTTGGACAATTTATTCATACTTGGCATGAAAAAGTTGTATATGCTTAATTTGATCTCATATTTTTTTCATCTATGTAAGACATGAATTTTTAAACTAAGAAATACTGATATATATACATTAGGGCGGGTCAATTTTTTTTCGACATCGTTCCTAGCAGATTCGGATTCTACATAAAATTCTAAGAAAAAAAGCCCTTTAGACCATAGCTCTAAAATCAATTTCGAGCCTGCGCAATTTTAAAAGAAAATATTTTTAATTAATACTAAGTCCATTATCAGATTAATATTTACTAAAGTGTTAGGAATATTTTTTTTTTTGTAATAAAGAGTTGTGCTCGGGAGTTTTGAGATACGAAAAATTAATTTCTGTTATCTATTTTTTATTTAAAGAACCGTAAGATGGCGCTTCAAAGCAAATCTACTATATATTTGTGGAAGTATGTATGTATGTATGCACCAGGTTGCAGCCTGAACGGATGTACAGAATCGAATAAAATTTTGCCAAAGTATTGCCATGACTCCTGGACCTATAATAGGGTAAAAAAATTTAAACTCGCCAAGGGAGGGAGGGGGATGAGGGATAGTGAAAAT